TACGTATAACGTCGTTATATACATAATGTGTACATTGCAAGAAACATTTCGGAAAAAAAATCCGACGACGACAAGAATTTAAAAAAAACTTTACCTTTTCCCTTCGCAGAAATTCGTCCCATATAATATATCCGTGCTGCGTGTACAACTGTTAGCCGTCGTGATGCGTACAGATTACAGCCTGGTGGTACCGGCGGATAGGCCGACTAGATAATCTCATTGCTCGGCGATTCGCTTGAGAGTATATATTATTCAGTTTAGGGTTGTTTTCTTCTGGAATTGATTTAATACGGTTTATGAAACTCTTTGAAACTAGTCTATAGTTAATATCAGCCCTTGAATTTGAAAAACAAAATTAGTAAGCGGATCTAAAAGTGTAAAAAAATAATGACGTGCTTACCTCAATATTTAAATGTCTTATTGTTTAGGATAGTATAACTAAAATGGGTACTCTTAAATAATTTGCTTTTAAATTAGAGGGACTTAGTCCTCCTACCGCGTCATCCCTTAATATTCAAGCACTGTATAGGTAATACCTAATTATATGTACTTATCAATAGTATTACGTCGTTTGTCGTTTTTTAAGTGACACATATAATTTTTTTTTAACTATTCCATTTGAAAAACGATAATAATAATAATAATATATTATTATTATTTAACCTTGCTATAACGTTCCTCGATAAAGGCGCACCCGAATTCACATATCTATATAACTATAAGCCCCGATAATTGGCCGAGATAAAAAAAACATTATGTGTTTTTCGTGTACGGAATTATGTATATACCTAACTATAATACGACTGTTTTACCGGTACACTCGATTTTGATTTTATCTAGACGACTGTTATATACTCCACGCCGCGATATTATCAAACCATATACCAAGTACTGAGTACTAAGACATATAGGTACCTATCCAATAACAAACCGATCACCGTCACACATTTTTCGATCTTAATTTATTGTTTCAATGTTTTTATTCTTTGTTCCTCTGTAGTCTGTATTACTGTGAAGAATAAAAATTATTGCCACATTACGCTCAATATATTATTCCAAACGACTACCTACTCCGCTGCAACTCGTGATGTTTTATAACCGAAATACTCGCATTAAACCAAGAGGGATGTGTTCACGATTATTCGTGCATACAATATATATTACAAACGGGGTGCGTAATGTCTTTGGAGGTCGGTCCTATTATAATATGCTTGTACCCAAACCGTGTGTATAATGGTTTACACACGTGTGGGTATAGGTAATAATATACAATTAAATAGTCACGTATTATAATATTATGTGTTCGTAACCACGGTTACCGTGCACAGATAGCCTCTATACGTGGTGACCGCGGCGACTCCCGAACGGCCAAACGTGATGTCTGTATAGAGGTACGCTTGTACCTATATTCGTGGGTATTATATTGTTCCCAAATGTGTTGTATCCAAGTAAAAAAAAACATTTTGATTTACATCACAAACGCGTGTCTCGCCCATATACGTCGTACACCCTAAACCCGGGCCCGTAATTAACGTTTAACATTTTAATTTTTGACCCATTGCGGGAGGACTACCACCTCACCGTATAGCCGTCGGTCGCCGACGGAGATTTATATATCATCATCGCAGCTTAATTTACAAAATGTTTAGTTTCCACGATGAAATCTTCAAAAGAATGTAGTTTTTTTTCCACTCGAGTAGATCGAGATTTTTAATTTATTAACTTTCTCTCCGAGTGCAGAACCAAAAAAAAACATCACACACGAAAATTAGAATAGTAGACGATTTATGTTTTTCCAGTTTTGAGTTTACTATGGTATAAAAAAAATACTCATACTTACGTTATACTACATGTCTGCATCGTACAATATAATATATAGAGCCTACGCCTAAAGTAATTTTTTTTTTTTCAAATCCCGGTTATAAAGTCACCGTAGAAAATACACAAAATCTGATCTGGATAATAAACTAGATATTGTATCTATAAAAATGTCAACGTTGTATAACTCCATTTTGATTTTTGAGTATTTCGGAGATGAGTTTAATATAGTATATGGCTGCTGTAACGGTAATACAGCTTAAATTTATTTTGGAAGGCATGTTTATTATGAAAACATATTACATTTAAAATACATAACTTATTTATTAGGGATATAAAATGCATTTCTTGAAAATCACTAGAACTATTTCAAAACCAGTTAACGAAGCGTGGCATGTACAAATATGCAAATGCAGACTTAGTATATCTACCTATACAACATAATACTCATAATATATACTCATAATAGTTATTACGATCTTATAAGATATAACTCTCGATATAATTAAATGAATATACAAAATAATTTCAAACCATATGTCATTAGTATTTTATTTAACCTACTAATGGATATTCAGCTGGTCATTAAATTTTAAGTAAGTACCTACACATAGTTTTCATAATATACGTGGTAATTATTTAGAAAACCATGAATTTTACAGAGGTATTTTAAAACTACAGAACACAATGTTCTTCTCAAATTAAATATTATATATGAAACGTAATTTATTTTAATTAATAACTGTGAATCACAAGTATTCTAGGGATGAATATCATAACATTTAAATTTATTATTAGCAAATATAATAATAATGTATTGAATACAATTTTTTGAATTTACCGTTAAAAATATTTTTTATACGTCAGAGCACAGCATCGCATTAATTAGTGATTCGTCACGATCAAGTGTTCCGCGAAGTATACTGCCAAAAGTTTGAGATGAATCGTAAACGGAAACATCAGTCAAACTACAACACTTCAGCAGCAGTCAGTTCAAACACCATCATTATATTATTTATTACTGAATCGCGATACCTATTTAACAAAACAATAAAAAGCTATTGCCTATATTAGCTGTAGTACCGACATAGTATGTGCACCATGCTCAATAAACCGTTGAGTAATAACACAATAGCAGTTACCCAATTAAAAGCATGTGAAATCATCCGAATCGGACCTAAATTTTTTGAAATTTCAATACTTTCATGATATTTGAAACCATATACGACTAACAGTGCTGCGGATTACAGTCGTTTAGTGAACTAGGTGAATTATAGCGTACTACATACACTTACACGTAACTCGTACAATGTACCCAGAGTTATTTAAAATGAATCATCCGATTGCGCCTTGCACCTGGCTTCCTAGGTCACCAGATCTTGCGCCAAGTGACTACTTTTTTAGGGATATATTTTGAATATACTGTGCACGTACCTGCACCATGATTATCGTCGACCACTGCAGATGAGCTAAAAAAATTAGAGGAGTCGATCGCACTTGATCTGCAAAGAAAGCCACATAAAACATATATGTTATATAATATATTATGTTATAGGTACCTTTCAACAAATTTCAAGTATATTATTATTTCATTTAATGTATATCATATTTGTAAACTGTAATATTAGTATATTACTCTGAAGCTAAAATCTACAAATATATTAGTAGGTATTTGAAGCATCGGATGAATCATTTTGAATAACCCAAACTTGGCATAATATTATAATGAAAATCTCTTCGGTGATGGCTGGTAATGCAAACATAGAACAATACCCACCAGCGTAGGTGTATACGACCGGGGTCGATTATAGATTAAGATTTTGAATTATTCTGAGTCACAAAGATTTGTGTTTTTCGTTTTCACGTCGTTGCGTTATACGTGTCGCAGGGATTACATGTGCCAGTCATAATATTATATACATATTATTATTATTATATTATAATATAATTATTTATCACGGGCGTGTGTCATTGACGTTCACTACTGCAGCAGCACATATTATACTCTCAACTTATTAGATTTCTCGGGCTCGCCCACCGATCCAATTTATCTTTGTCAATTATTCACAACGGCTGAATCTCGAAATTAATTACTTCACGATTAACCGTGCATTTAAATACATTTAAGCTGGTTAAATACGAATGTATGTAATGCGTATTTGTTTTTACATCAATATTGCGTAGTCTATAGACTTGCAAGGGTCTTCAACCTTTTCAGGCAGATGCTGGTCGCCTTTTATTATTTTTTAATCCCGTGGCCACGTTTGTAATAAAGACATGGATGTATTAATAATGATTGAAAAAAATGATTTCAAATAAAGGTACATGCTATATTCTTAAAATTTGTTCGAGGGCCTCGACGCCGTTAGACTGTAAAGACCCCCGGTCTAGACCGTCTCGGATGGACCAGCAATATCCATAATAAATAATATAATATGCCCTGCATGTCTATATAGCCACACATAAAAGAAGTCCCCGGAGTATCGCAAAAGATACGTTCAATAATAGAAACAGTCATAATAATGCTAGTTGGATTTAATGTATATCAATATCCGTGTAATAGCTAGTCGTGTAATGTACGACATGTTTTGTATGTTTCGACTTTGTTCCGACATCACTAAATAATTTAATATATTAAATAGAATACTATTTTCCTCAACAATATTAATGCTACAATAATAATAATAATCTTTATTACGGTATAAAAAGTCTATTTATAAATAACATATGCAATACAATTATAGAGTATTTTACATATTATGTTACATAAAAATTATAAATACAATTTTAAATTATACATTTTGAATATTTATTTTTTATATTTAAACTTGATTTGAATACTTACCTATCAATATTACCACATTGAACCAAATCAATATATAAGCCTCACATTACCGGTGGCCATTAAAACGTTTGTAGGAGAAGATGTCAGTATTCTTTAATTTATATATTATTTTTAGTGAACAAAATATCAATAAACATAATAAATATGACCAATAATAATCAACTGCGCTACTGTTGAGATGAGGTTATTGGTGGAATGGTATATTATCAATTTTATATATTATGTTATTGCGTTTGTGTGTCTATATTAGGTATTAGAAAAATATTTTATTTTTCCTTTTAAAATATATTATTTTTATCAGCAGTGTAACTATATATTTTTTTTGTTTTCGTTTTAGGAATGATATACTTTGGGAAATCGTCTCTGTGGACCGCGTTGTTACTGTGGTTGTGGTTCGAGAACAATGTCACCGGCGCAGACGACAACTACAACAATAATAATGGCGTGCATGAGGAGAAAAACACAGCTCACTCGAGGCAGAAACGTCTGCTGTGGATCACCACGGACGGCCGCCTGGCCCTGCCACCCGGCACCAGGCTAACGATAACGCCATCGCTGTCCCTGCCATTTGTCAGGTACCCACCAGACGGGTTCCTGTCCAACATGAGCATCAGCTTGCCATTCACGAGTCAGTGTGATGATTTTTATCAATTTATTTATTTATCTATATATTAGTCCCCCCCCATGACTTGAGTTAAAATTCAGACTTTAAGACGTCTCACTGGTACATTGCATCTCCGACGATATCGCCTTATAATTGTCTACACAATTAAATCAATGAACTGAAAACCTTAGTATTGGTGAGCTTAATTTGCATAATGTTCCCAAGTCTGGCTATTTTTTCACATAACTTTAAATTTTTCAGTGAATTACAATGAACTTAGTGTGTCTAAAAAAAATGTGCACTTACGAATTATTATTATTTGTAATGTACAGTCCATATAGGTGGTACTTGGTTTTACTAACGTACGTCATAACTCTATTTTCTCATTATAAAGAGCATATATTATTATAAATCATTAGATACAACTAGAAAAAAATCGTTAGTCATGTTTATAGTACGCACAATGTCCAATTAAAAACAAAGGTATTTAAAAATGTGTAAACAATTTAATGGTGTGTAGAATTTTTACGCTTTTTGCGTGCGGAAATTAATGAACATTTTTCCCAGATAATGTTTTCAATATTTTCTTTGTATCAGTAGTAATTTTATTCTTCAATTCCATCATTCATTTGTTTTCTAGAATTTCTTTACCATTCCCACATGCCACTGCAAAGACCACCGTGAGTTGGTGTTATACATAACTACTTAAAGAATATTCTAATATTCTAATAAATAAGTCGTTTTTCAGCGGAATAAAAAACAGAAATTCATCACTTTTGTCCGACTGAGTTCGATTTTTACCTATATCTATGTATTATAGTTGTTATAGCTGTAATGACTACCGATGCTACCAAAATATACAGCTCGCGGTGTATTCGATGTTCATAACCTAATATTATTTATGCCTAATGATATGAATATGTACAATATTATAATAGGCGTACTAGAAAACTGTCTACAGATGAGTGCACGTACCTAATATGAATTTCGTGTGTTTTTATGATAAAATTGGACGCATACAAATAACTAATAAGTGATAGTATATATAATTTAATCCTATAGTAATTATTACAACTTCTGAGGAGATGATTACAACATTTCTTTAAAAACATTTGGCAAGTACAATTTGAAAACTTAGCGTTTATTTGTTTACAAAACACGAGATCGATCTAATGTCATATAAATATAAATATAATAGTATATGAAATGTATTATTTAAATGATATATATATTAATATTATGACGAGCTCGCTTGAACGTTAGTCAGTCGAATAGTCGTGTGATTTTTTTTATAAGATATACACTTCAACTAACTATCAGGTTACTTATATTGATTACACCATACACATATATATATAATATACATCAATTCGTTATTTATATTTAAAAAATTTTGAATTATTCAAAAAAAAAAACCACTTCACTGAAAAAAAATTAAAAAAATAAAATCAAAATTATGTTAGGTTCAGTGCTGCTCTCTACATATAATACATATATCATGTGGCCACTCCTATGTTATATACATTACTAAGATTTACACTTAAAATATTTTGAATCAATCCAAAAAAAAAAAAACTACACTGAAAAAAAAATAAAAATAAAAATAAAAATCTTGTTAGGCTCAGAACTGTCCCACCACACATGTAACATTATATATATATATATATATCATGTGACCACTCCTACAGTTAGTTATTATTGTACTGCATTATACCTCACAACTGATGATAGGTATTCGATATTCACTCAATATGTGGTCTGCCCAATTATTAAGCCGAACCGAGTTTACAATTTATACGTTTTTAGACAAACGATAAGAATCTGGGACAAGTTTAGTGCGCGTTTACATCAAAAATTGATTTTATACTTTTTAAGGTCTCGATTTATCATCGCCTACAAAAGTAATGGCAATTAAACGAGTAAAATAATAACTTCCGAGTTAATACTTAACTTTTCGGCTGCATGATTCGGCCGACCGGTGAAACTATCACATACCTACTGCAGTAAATAGGTACATTAGAAGACTAATAAAATCTTTTTACGCATACTTTAGTGCACATCATATGCTATATTTTGTAGGTCAATATTGTTTATTGTATTTTTATTGAGTTGTCGTCGTCTAAATCTATACACGTAATAACTATATAATATAATAAACCTACAACTGCATAGATGGGTTATGACATCAGCTGCAGTTTTAGACGTTATACACTTCTAAAAGTTAGTAAAAATTCCTAAATCGGAACAATCGTAATAATATATTTAGAGTGGTGAAATTTACGATCCATAAAAATTTAAATGTATTTTTTATAAGCCACCTTGCAGTGCCCTATCATAAAATAAAATAAATAACAAATATTTGAATTCCTTAGGTACAAAACCGGATTTATGTCTTTGCAAAATATTTTTCTATATTTATATTGTTTTGTTTTTAAATGTTACTTATATAGTCGACTTCGATGGCTTGGGCCTGACCGATAATCAGAATCCGTTCGGCGCCTTCCCACCGATATTGGCCAGAAGCATGGGCAGGCAGATGGGATCGGTACTCGCCGACTATGTGTCTCAACTCATGGACGGCCGGAGATCGACTAGATCTGTTCCAACGTTACCCAAACCAATACACTCGTACTTCCAAGGAGGTGAAAGGTAAACCATAAAATGCATAAAATAACATGTAAATAATCTTTGAATAATTCAGAAAAACACACGATAGAATACTAATAAAAATACTAAATAAAATACTAATACTAATCAAAATAGGTTGACACATTTATGTTGTTGTTTTAATCGCGTGTTCATAAATCGTAAATTATTACGATTTTAAAATTATTCTCCAACTATATTCAGTAAATATAACCATTGGTTACGAGCAATATTAAATGCGAAAAGAACGTTCTTAACGAGTTATGAATAATAATATGAATTATTTTAGCACGCATCAATATTATATTATGTTGCTTTTGATCAATCTAAAAATATCTGTTGACAAGAATAGTTTTAAAACAATATTATGTATTAAAAATAATAAAAATAATAAAAAACAAATAAAATGAGCAATATTTTTAAAAACGTTTATATCACATGTTCTTTTTATATTCTATAATATGACTAAATATATATGGCTATTTTATAATTTCGAATAAATTAAATATACAAAACTGTATTTAAAATATTTATATTATTATAATAGTCTACACAGGACACTTCGTAGTACAAAACATCTCAAAAATTTTAAGTCTTGTAGTATACTTAAAAATTTAAAAAATCAGATTTTGAATAACTGCATTATTGAAGAAAAAAGGAGGTGGTGAGCATGCTTGCTGAAGCATCCTTTTAGTACATACAGCATATACACACGAATTAATTGTAAATAGTATATAAATCATATAGTGTATAGTTTAATATACTCTTATGGTTTTGTATTCAAAAAATTAAAATTAAAACAGTTCATAGGCATATTTTAAATGAATGAGTTAAAATTAATATTCTTTCTCCAATACTACAGTAAAAATCGTCAGGTCTATACTATTTTTTTTCTACCTACTGTTTATGAGTAACTTCGAGTATACGCTGTAGTAGATTTCAATAAATTTAAATATGTTTTGCTTATTTAAACTTGAAACCAAACAAATATTCTAAATTTTAATTTTACACATGATATATTTGTTGTTATCTCAACTTAAAGCACGGTTTGTAAATTTAACTCGAAAAGTAGCGAATATACAACGGGAACTTGATCGTATCTTGCAAACACAACTATCAACTATACCCTGAAACACAAGATTTATAGATATATGTTAGAGCTGTTAACAGCGATATCTGCACCAGTACACAATGTCTTATCAATTGTTGTAATTTACATTCAAATATAGCATCAGTTAATCGCCAAGGAATATGCGTAGCAACCACTAAAATTGAGAAACTTACATAGTTATAAAAAGAAATACGACCGAGTTATTTATGAGTTTTAAGTGTAACATTAATTTTTTCCATTCGCGCATCAATAAATAAAAATGTATTTACTAAAAGTAAAACCTAAATAAACATAGAAACTTTTTCATAAATAATTGAAAGATACAATTATTGAATTATGTACATTTATTAAATATCATATGTATTAAAAATGCATACAACTGATATAACTGAACGCTTCTAAATAAACAATAAATTAAACACCTCAAACTTTTAAAAGGATGATTAAATTGAATAACGTCATGAATAAATAATGTAAGAACTGTTTTGAGTATTAACGTTACAAGATACTATATAAAGATATCAAACTATTATAATTTCTACTGTTACATAAGTGAATAATAATAATGATGGGGTTTTTCTAGTTTTGACATCTGGAAAAATGGAAGTTTCAAACTTCACTATACTGAGATTTTGTATTATATATCTTTACCAGTATTACTGCTATGACTCGAAATACAATTTTTACTTTTTTTGCTGTGGAACGCTTTATTCGTATTTTTTCTTCATAAATCACGAACAGGTGCCATTTGCCGTGTTATAAATTTCAACGTAGGATTCTTGTTGCGACACGCAGCGTATTCCCGTGGCATTTACTCTCACAAAGTATATAGTTGAAATTCGAAAAATGTGTTTTATATTTTTATTTCAAACGTTAAGAAAAATTGCAAAAAGCCATAATCGTTTTCCACGACAATCGTAGGTATGATGCCTATTCTGTTCACAGCAATATCAGTTTTCAATGTAAGTACACCATACGCACACATATTGTGCGAAAACCCATTTCACCTTATATGTACACAACACCTACACGTCAAGACGCATCGTATATTATTATAATGGACAAGAGTAGGTACTTAAATATGCACCATTTTAATGTAACATTACATTGTATGATACGCTTAATGAAACGTAATTTTTTCGATAACAGCTGATAATATGTGGTAGATACGGTATACCTACACATTATGCACACTGCACCTCATCCGCATTTCTCACGATCGTATGTTACGCGGCTAAATACGTTTTATTTGACCGACATTACACGCATCATATGCATGTATAAATTATTATTATATATCTATGTAGGTATACATAATTTATAGATCGTATCTGTTATAATGAATAATTGCCGTATTAATATTCCGACCAGAAACCGCCGCCGTGGTGGATGGCGGTTACGCGGAGTAACCAGCTTGGTCCAAGTTCACGGGCACCGCGAGCAGACAGGTTTTGGCAGCCTGCTGCAACAATGACTGCGTTTTAAAAGTAAAACAACAAGACCCGTTTACAGCTGACCGTTGACCAATTAAAATGGGTAAAGGGCGTTGGGAAAGTCCCGTGACGACGCCAGGTAATGAGGAGCGGCCGATTGAAAATGGAATAACCCAAACCTCTATGAGCCTCGGCGCTTCGGCGAAAATAAATAATAATACATCAGACCGTATGCGATAAATTATATTATTATTACGATGATATAGTGACACACACACACGCACACACATACGTGCGTAACAAAGTAGGTTTATGTGTGTGTGTGTGTGTGTGTGTGTGTGTGTGTGTAACAACTAACAGAGAAGCTGCGCAGTTATAGCTATAGCAATTCTAATTTGTCCAAGTTATAAAATAGAACTTTTCTTAGCGAATAACTGAATGTAAGTATTGGAGATTTCTTTGAGAATTTCGTTTAATTCGAATAAGTATTATATAATTATCACTATTACCACAACGCACACACATGTTTTATATTAATAAGTACACATCAACTTGACGTTAACAGATTAATGACGGGTTGCATGAACAATCACTAAACATTTAACGAATCAATAGTGATCCAATGATCCCTTAAACATGGTTTAGCGGCCCATGATTGGTCCATTAAATTTTATTGGGCCATTAAATTAATAATTTTTTCATGCAACCCGGCATAAGACAATTATTTTTGAAAATACTATAAATATATTATGTCTTTGCAGAGCTCTGCTGTTTACCGTCGTCGAGGACCTGTTGACAAACTTCGGAATGGACGGCAAAGCGTGTCTGCTCCGAGCCATATGCGAAGTTCACGGGCACCAGTCCATACACAAATTTGGTTTCATCGGTGAATTTCTTCAGCTGTTCCTCACGTAAGTGCATCAAATATGAAATGATATATGAACGCTAACAAAATTGAATATAATTTCACGATATGTATATATTTATGCACAGTGACATTTGTAATATTATAAACAGACAACTATACGATTAATTCTGCGAGTCTTTGCGACGATAATATATTTATACTCGGTCGTATTTGAGGGCGGACACTTGAGGGTAAAACTATTATAGTTTAAGAAATGTATACGTAGGAACACGAAAACCACCATGTAGAGATGTATAGAATATTATTTACGGTTTGCTCTCTCCGGTCATGTTTATGAATAACACAATTTTTCGCCCATTAAATGCAAGATTAAACAATGAAACTCACATATTTTCATACAATACATTTACCATCCCATAAAATATATGATACTGTATCATAAATTCATAATTATTTACCGTTTATTTCATAATATTATAACACGCGTCCAAAACATATACATGCAAGTATAAAAACTCCAATGACCAAAGGTGTTGTCGCGGTTAGAGCAAAACAACTTTCCAACGAAAAGTAGAAAAATGACACCGGCTATTAAATGACTTGCAGGAGATACGACTTTGTATAAATGAAGGCAACGGGTCATTGCATAAAATGTAAGCCGGATTTTTTTTTTTTAATAATCATTTTTGCAATCGCTATATAAACTCAGCGCCATGTGCCAAACCGGAAATGCCATGCACACGTGGCATGCGGAATAAACTACCGGTAAAATAATATAAATACATTGGTAGGTCGCTTATCACAAACATAACTTATAAATATGAACTTACCGTAGTGGAAGTATGTCAAATAAATTACAGAAAACTATTAGTATACCAAATCCCTAATATATCAAACAGTCGAGGATATTCGACATATGTAGCCGATAATAATGCATTAAGAGTGCTGTTTGATGTACATATATATTATATATTATATATTTATATATAAGCTATATGTGTGAAGCAACATACAATTTAAATATAAAAAACTATGGTGTTTAAATAATGTACAGAAAAAAAGATTTTAAATACTAACAAACCACTGAAATTTACTAGGTGTGTAGGATAAAAAAAAATAACATTAAAATAATGATAATAATTTTATAATAATCAAAATAATATAGGTAATTCTTATTTGGAGAAATTTAATGATTTATGTCGTTTGTAAAAAAAAACAATATATAGACCAGACAAAAATACAAAATCATAATTTTTTTTTTTTTATTTGACTAATTCAATCTATACAATATTAATTTTGTATAAAAAACATGATAGATGGTTAGAAAGAAGACAAAATACAACAGAGGAACTTGAGTGGAGAAGCCGCCCACTGACGACACTCCGGACAAAATCATAATATAATATAATAAATATTATATTATACAAATTAGTGTCTATTTTTATTAACTTCTAGCAAAAGGCCAATACTATTATAGCATATATGTTATTAATTCTCACAATGTTTTAATATTAAAAAATAAAACATTATATAAAATACCGTATGTTTGTCCGGTGGAATATTTAAATCGAAAATATTTTAAGATAGGAATGTAAGTATAAAATACATTATGAATAACTATACTTGATTTGTCCGATCCTGTTGCACTCTTGGTTCGATATGTTGAAATCGGTTTACGGGGCGCCCATGTCAATATCGACCTAAAAAATTAACATAATTTATTAAAAACCATCTAGGCGTATTAAAATATATTATAAAAAACAATTTAAATAGTAGAAACGAACAGTTTTTCTTCTACGATTAGAAATCACTAAGTCATGTGGTATTTCTTGTTAGTATATTTTTGACACGTATCATTAACAAAATATCAACTTAACAGTATAATCGGTTGGAATAAAAAAAGAAAAGTTTTGTTGATAGATATGTTCACCTGCCGCGTTAGGCTCTTTCGAAATAATAAGATGATACTTACCTACATTTAAAAACCAAACAATTTATTGCCATCCCAATGAACGTCTCTAGTTAGAAAAAAAAACCAGATATTTATCTCAAAAACACCCAATCGATACAAGTGGTCCACAGACGTCTGTGACATAACTACCAATATAATATATTATTAAATAAATAATACATATACCAGGCAAACCATTTAAAAAAAAAAGACACTCATTTTAATAAAAATATTTAAGAATGTTTTTTACTTAATTTTAATTTATTAAAAAATAACATCATTTCTGAAATAAAGTATTTTTATTATTTTTTCTCATTATTTTTTGAGTTTTTTAAACTTTGTTAATGAAAATACTCATTTTTCATTCCGTATTCTAAAGTAGAATAGTTTTGGAATTTTCCATACATAATAATGGAACTGTGCACCAGTATAATAATATGTTATAATTCAAAACAGAAAAAAACTTTAAAATAAAAACAATAAAAAATTATAAAATTATAATTTTCTCCCAAAAATGTTCTTTAATAACGTTTTAAAATTAGGTAAAAGAAATATTTTCAAAAACTTTATTGTTTTCTTAAGTTAAATGGATCACCCCGTATATAACAAGTATATAATTTAATATTTATTATAGTTCTATATCCAATACGCACCCATCCAGGGACATAGGTACACACCAAAAGTGATTTGTGGGATAATGGGTCGATCCTCCCACAGTTCGGACAGGTAGACCAAAGCTTTTTTTCAGATAGATAATAATATAAAATAATCAGGTACTCTGTAGTCTTAATATTTATAGTAAAATTAGTTCAATATCCTGCGATCCTTCCTCCTTGGGAAAATTGCAGAGTGTTTATTAGCACATAATATTATTATATTAACGATAAGTCTTATAATATTAATGATATTATATAACTACTTCGCTGCCGTCATGGTGTTTGTGTGCTGTACACGCTATAAACTAATATTTTTCTACGAAAATCGTACGCAGACCATATCCTTGAGACAAGCAAGGTATTATAATAATAATGCTATGTACCAAGGTATAATATCGAAATTAAATTTCTGATATCATTCATGTGTATAATATGCGCACAAACCGATCGACGACCTCAAGTATACTGAGGGTGGTTTCGCCGCAGAGAACTTTAACGTTATTATATTGCAGTAATTTTAATCGCGGTAGAATGATTAATTCACGAATATAATATAATACGTATATATTATATCAATATGTGTGTGTATTAAGCACATAGGCATGTAAATCAATGACGTCGATTTAGTCGACGGAATTCACAGAGCACACCGTCTTAATAGCGTTTCGACCCGGTCAAACCATCCGTCGTGAACTGTACAACGGTCCTCATCTTCATTTATCGCTTTTCCGACCGGTTACAGTATAATTATTATTATATTATTGTTTTATACTGCAAGCGGTTTCGAGTATTGCGCAATCGCGTGCTGTAACAACTGTACGTATATAATAGTATGTACTTTTCGACGAAATCCAATCAAAATTATTATTGTTTCTATTACGCGTTGCTTACCTATAAAATAATATATAAAATACTGTTACGATCAGTCATGGATCCAGAGCATAGGTCCGAGGGGGGGGGGCACAATTTTATAACAACGCAAAATATACAATATAGGTACCACTGTATCTAACCTCTCTTAACGGATACCTAGCAACAGCAGACGTTTTTTTGAACTTCAACTACAGACTTTGTGCATATCTGAACCCTCGGAATACCGGACAAAATTTCATTGACAGTGAGTGCCCGGTGTTTAGTGATTTCACTGTTTAGTGTTATATATTATTATTATAAATACAGTATTTATAATCAATGGGTGTATCCAGTGGTAAGCACTTATATGTCCGGGGGGGGGGGGGGCTATGATCGATTACATGCGCGTCTGTGGTCTTCGCCTATTTCGTAACGTAACATTTAGATGATCCCGAGTGTATAATATTATTATAATAATTTTTTTGCCTGTTCAAATTATTAAAAATCTAGGTCGTCCCCCGTGTATATAGTATAGGAATGCACAACAAGTAAAACTGAACGATGTTTTAGTTTTGATGCTGCAGATAATTATGTCTTATAATCATAATAATAATATTAACGATGAATATTTCTGTAATTATTTTGCAGGGCTAGTAGATCTACGTACGCTGATTTAATGAAAGACTACGTGACTGCCGAAACCGTTGGCAAACACAGCAAAGAATGTTACCCTTACTTTAAGGAATGTCCAAAGTCGTTGTTCACCAACAATCACAACTATTCGTAAGTTTTGTTACAGTAGAAGAAATATTATACATATAAGATTTAACAATATTTATTTATAATAATACTTAATAATTTTGGTAAGAAGGATAAAATGGCCATTTGGGTTTTCTTCACAACATAACGCTGAAATTGCTTATGCAATTTGTCCCAAAAACCTCCGAAAAAATGTAATTGGGGCCAGATTTAAAAATAAAGTATGCTAATTACTAATTTGTGCCTCATAAAACGTGATAAAAGGGCATCGTGTAATCTACGCAACCTTGTACCCACAAAATATTAATTTGTGCCATTTTTCACCTAATCAAAATTATAATTTATGCAACTTTAAAATAATTTATAATAATTTTTTTTTGAAACAACTTATTCATATGTGTTTTATCATTTTATATTTTATTCATCTATTAAGTCTTAGTAGATGCGTTTCAAGAAAAATATTTAAATATTTAACAAAATAGATTAAAAGATGTATGCTGATAATATATACTATACTAATAATATTGTATATAAGTTTATCATACATTGTAAATAAAAAAGAAATATTTCAGTTAAACTATAACAAAATATGTAAAAAATAATCAGGAATATTAAAATGTATTGTCCAATTATCATCCATATTATTAAGAGTCACGTTATTATTAATATTCACTTTCTATTATGCGCTATATTGCTGATATGAGCTCGGTCAATTTATCAGTTAAATTCTAATTATTGAAATTGAGATTTCATCACTATTATCAGTTGCATTATTTTTGACTAGTTACATGTGTTAGAGTTTTATTTTTTCGATTTTTCACCTCTTTGGTTTTAGGGAAGCGAATTCGCCTACTTTTGATTATATAGGTATGCAAATAATTATCAAGATCGTTTCACTGTAAGTAATAAAATGTTATTTGAACCATTTTTTCAAATCAAATGGGTATATTATGACATTTTTACATATTGTAATACGAGTCAAATACCTACTTTAGGCCAAATAATATCTTAATAAGGACTGACATGCAGTTCACCCGACCAGTGTGTATAAATTGGCCACCATTTGTAATTTTTTTTCATACTGATCATTAACTATTTAAAATTAAAAACAAATTTCAAAAAAATAAATTAGAATATATAACATTTAAGAGGTTGTACAGTTAAATAATCGGTAAATTATTTTGTATACCTTTTTTGATAAAAAAAAACGTAAAAAAATGCATCAAACCTTAGGTTAGCCACTTGTGTATACCCTTCCAGTAATAATAATATATTATGATCTTGCATTAACTCGTTTCTGGGATATTTTATATGTCGTACTGTACGGAGGGATCGAAAGTTCAATATGTTTCCAACGAAGCGTGGGCGGGCGTTATTGGCAAACAAAAGAGCGAAAAAACGTATTCCCGAAATGAAAAAATAAAACAAGGTCTCCTCATTTATCAATCAGTATTGACAGTCACGTTTAATGGGACACCTATTGAATGGCGAAATTAAAAAAATACACTAATTTCACACATAGGCGGCATTTCTATGAAAATCACACCGGCCGACAACACATGATGCGCGAGAAAGTGACAACTACCTATCTTTAATATAATAATAATAACGTGTGTCCTTCGGTCGCGTTTTTATCGGAATGTATACCAATTTATATTATTATTATTATATTAACATCGGAAAGCGAGCGAATTCATCGACGAATACTGAACAGCGTGCTTATAATATAAAAATGCGCTCCGAAAAATTATCGTAACCCAATTTCTCGCCGTTAAAGGCCGAGTGGCTGTGCAGTAGAGTATAATATAAATAATTATAATGACAACAATATTACCACGGGAAATAAATTTAATTATATATTTTTTTTATTCAGCGATATTATATTTATGTAACACGAGGTTTTATTTGTATAATAAACTACACTGAAAAACAGCACGTTATAAAATGGCTGCACATAATAGTTGTGTTGCTCGACTTATTCAACGATAAAAATTAATTAACATTATATTCTAATGACACATTTTAAAACAAAAAATTACAAACAGCAAATTGTTCAAAAGATTTGATTGAGTTTTGTGTGAGGTACCTATTATATTGGCTGCAATATACGCAGATACACTATACAATATCATACATAGATATGGTATTCGTATTATATGTGTACCCACTATAAATTGTCCGTATAGAATTTTGAAAAAGTAGAGCGTAAGTACGAGTACATTATGAAAATACAAAAGCTCATAGACATGATCAGCCATGACCTATATTGAAAATTATACATAGGGATGAATTTATTATTCAATTTTGAGAATAAATTTTAGCATTACCCAGAATACACCAAGTGGAGGCGATTCTCACTATCCACTATAGGAATATTATCGTTTTTATTTTATTGAAATTTGTGAAAAATCGTTAATATTAGGTTTATTAACACAATACCAAATCATCGTTTAAAAAATTGAATCCTAAATTTGGGAGTTAAATAAATGTTATAATACGATTCAATTTTGTACACAATATTACACATTATCTGTAATATATTACCAATTTTAACTAGATCGAATTTACTACCTATAATATTAAATGATGTAATTTTATCTGTAAAAAATACTAAAATAATGATCGGTGTTATAGCCTTCTTACCAGCTATTTCTTGCCATCCTTAAATAAATCAATCAATTGATATAATTTTGCTTTTCGTCGTTTCAATTGAATAATTTCTTTTATGTTCTACATTTTGAATGGATATATAATATATTAAAAATTGTGAGAATAATATCAAACAATCGAGTTAATTGTGTGTTATTGTATTTATTTATTTTGTTGATTTGAAAAAAAATACAAATAATTATGGTATAAAGTATGGCATATTTTAAAAACTTTTGATTCGATAAAAAAAATACAAATATTTAATTGAAAAGTTTTTTTTTTGAAATGAGTTATTTGTGATATTGATATTATATTATATTCATTCTCAACGTCTGCAAATCACGTGATTGCATGAAACAGTTTTAAACCATACTGGCAACATAATAGTATTTATTCAGTTATTAAATATATTTACTGTAAATTAATTAAAGTTTCGTATTTTATAAATTAAAAAATATTATATCGTTGTTAATTTATTATGCTATTTAGTCGATTGTCAATACTCAATAGTCAGTCTGCTTTACTTGATACATTATCTAATTGAAAAATAAAATAGTTTGCAACTGTTCAAAAACGTACAGATGACTATTTAATCCATAAAATATGGAAATAATGTATCAGTCTTCGTTGTCAAGGGAGATTATATGATAGATGATACTGTATACCTACCATAGATATCATGGGTATAGGTTTATAGCTTAATCGGATAACATATTTATCTACCATGCACACAATATCAAAATTAATGAATAAAAAACACAATTAATTAATTGTTTTTGTAAATTCTTGTAATTGTATATACTCCATTAAGACAATCAAACGTAGGTACTTATTATATTAGATATAACCAGGATAAAATGTCGTTAAATGTATTTAATAAATTATGTACGGGTAATAAAATACTGTCGTGCTATGATTATTTTGTATCCATAAAAATAACAATAACTATAACTTTTCGTGTTCACTTTCAAAACGATTTCATCGCGCACTAATGATACCTAGCTAGCATATCGTCAATATAATAATAATAAATGCGTAATCGAGTAATCGACGTTATCTCATCTATTAAAGGTTTAGTTCGGTGTCTATATAATATCGTGTCTTTCACTCGTGTTTGTAAAGAAGTATCTAATTTTCATAGGACTACTGTTCTGATGGTTATTAACACGTGTGCCCGAAAACGAACAATAGACATAATGTAATTTAATAATTTATAATGCATCGTATAAATGTACAACAATGAGGTAAAACCGATGACGATCATTCCGCACCGCTGTCAGTCCACCCGTTCTTTGATTTTAAGTGGTTGGTGGTCGTTGTAAAATCTTAAAGAAAACAAAAATGTATGGCATAATATTATAATAACATGCTGAAACCAAACGAGCTCCATGGATAGTTTGTGTTGTAAGCCTAAAAGGGTTGATATGTGGATTAGACCCTAGAACGGGGATAGGGTTATTTTGAATTCGAAAAACAAATTTAAAAAACGTTAAAAAAAAAACAAAATTCGATAGCCCTAGTGCATATTAAACCACATGTGCTCAATAGAATATTGCTCTATCCACATAACTCTATAGAACTCATCAAATAGCTTCCCACAAGCCATTATTGTCGTGGACTATAATTTACCTGGCCCGTAGACAGGACATTTTTTTTAATTTAATTTTTTTATATACATTAGGTGGTATATGAAGTTTTCATTAATTCTAATCGCATTTTTTGATTCCTGCGTCGCCACCATGTACATACAGCTTTGATGGGTCCCGTAAACTGGAGCCGAATTCCCAGGGTATAACCCTTCGAAAACATTAACCGTTGATCCCTGTATAATAATATATGTATTATATTAAGTATTATACCATCATATAATCACATGGACTTTAACGCTTGGTTTGCTGTGGTTTCCAGGAAAAACGATCTGTCACCCGACGACGAGGACGAAGATGGCGAATCGGTGTCGGCCGACGACGACGAAGACGGTGGAGGCGGTGGCGATAACTACAGGGACGGCAACGAGGTCGACGACGACCGTAGGAAGTCATCGTCGGCGAGCGGCGGATCAAAAGTGACGGTGAATCCGGCACCGTTGGCCATGTGACCCGGTTGAACGCAATCACCCGGGTGAATTTATCACTCTCCGCCGCGTGCAATGATCGTTGAATAATCGTCTCCCGGACGAATTTCGTTTGTATATATTATTTTAAGTGTGTGCGTGTCTGTGCGTGTCTGTGCGTGTGTGTACGTGTCCGGACACTTTCCCGCTGTCGGGTTAAATCTACTCACGCGTTTTCTTTTTCCTCCGCTTCCCATCCACGCCCACCCCGCTCCGTCTCACAAACAACCCCCAGCACCCCCCCACCCCCGTCTCACCACCACTCCTCCCCACAGCTCCGTATATTGTAAATAGTCCAGAGGGACTTACATTTTATATACAGACGTCTCTTCTTCAAGACCGCGCGGGTTCCGTGCAATCGAGTACCAATATACGGTCTGTTATATTATCATATTATTTTATCATCGGACTCGTCGTGATGCGAGTTCTCTGTACAATTTACGAGGAGTTTTCTGCAACGCAATCCCCTCGTCGACTGGCACACTTGGCGTTTTATTCGACTGGCGTGCAAATACCGTTAAAAAATCGACCACCCGAAGAAAGGCTGTACAATATAATACAGTGCCACAAAATAATCACGATAAAAAATGATGCCCGGAAATTCAGATCCCCAAGTCCAACAACCGCTTATTTATTTTTATTAGGTATTTCTATTATTTATTAAAAACGCATCATTGTTTATATTACACCGGAACACGCATAATATTATTATTATACGCAATACACTGTAGGGACATTCGAAATTCACGTCGGAGGCGTCTTTTCCGATGATAAGCCGCTGCCCAGTGCGTATCATTATATTTTATTTACATTATTATTATATAAACATTCAAATATCATAATTATTATTATTATTAATATTTACACACAGTTATCGTATACGTTATTCGCACCGAAACGTAACAAAAAGAGGACTGTTTCAAATGTATTTTTTCTCTTTTTGTTTCGTTTCGGATCATATATTATATACATACTAGTATACTACATAATATATCATTATATTATTTATATATATATATGTATTTAAATACGTAAACACAAACAAATGTATAGTTGTAGCCTTAGAAAAATGTAATAGCAGTAATATCAGTATTCGTAATAGCATAGTTATATAATATATTGTATAGTCGTACCTACCTAGTAATTTATAGTGATTTTAGTAGACGCGTATAACATGGGTATACGTGTAGGTAGGTCTCGTACATGTCATAGTATTATACATTATAGTATTGTATTAATGTTATATTCTCAAAATATGTAGCTTATAGGTTGTGCCATCGTCCATTTAGTTTAATTTCATAATCAACCTATTATGATTATTATTAATATTTATTTATTTATTTATTTATTTATACATACATATATTGCGTTGTATTCTATCATTATATTACCTACCTATATAATATTATATATTATATATTAACCCAACCGTTGTAGATAAGTAGACTTTTTATTATTATGATGAACCTACGCGAATTATATTATTATTATTATTATTATTATTATCATAAAATTGTACTGTTATTTATGACATTACACTCATGTGAGGTGTTAATATCGTATGATGGCGATTATAATTTATAATATATCTTGTCTGACGTAAATATATACATCCCTATATAATATATATTGTTTTTCTGTTGTGGGGTTATAATTTATAAAAGGAAATGTTGGTGTGTGTGTGTGTGTTGTGTGTAAGTGATACACAGCGGGAATCCTAAACCAGATGATGAGCAAATTTGTAAATGTTGCATTCATTTTAAAGAGTGGCTCTCACAAGAATTGTTTGGCTCATAAGGTGGCCATATGGTTACAAAAAATAAAATAGTTCGTATCACCAACTGGATATAAATTACACCTGTAATTAATACTCGGCCAAAACCAGCCAAGTATGTATTTCACGAATTTGTTTAAACTATACTGTAAAGTTTACATTCAACCGCGGAATTGAAGACAGAGTAAATGCCTATCATTTTATTTGTCACGGGCTACGCCATGCAGGACCATCTGCAGGTTTCATAATAATTTATAATGTACCCATTCGCTTGGTGAAATTCAGTATTAGTATAATTGCATAATATTATACACCATTTTATATGTGATAACTGATGGTTATGCCATAACTATCCTTCATATTTTAGTTTGGGAATTATAAATTTATTTGGTATACCTATAACTTATATATATACATTGTTTAGACAAAATCTAATTATGTAACACGAAAATTACAATGATTATTTGTATATTTTACTCTTGATTATTTTAAAATAGATACATTTTCGGGCTTGATACAACTTTATTTTTTTAATTGATTTTACGTAAAATTAATTGTTATATATAAACGTAAATAAAAAATAATAATAAAAAAACATAGGTATAGGGGAGACTGCCTTAATACGACACACCATTTTTTTTAAATGGGCATATATAAAAAATTGTATTAATTAACGTAGGTATATTATAAAAAAATATGAAATATGTCATTTTACCCGGGTGATCAGGTAAAATAACATACACGAGTTTGTAGAAGCCTAACCATATAGAAAAAAATATTTTTTTTTTAATGCATTATATAATTTCATCTATGTAATATTTTATTCATAACAATTCAACACCAATATAGTCACATAGTTTAATAACATTTAACAGTTAATAACAGAGCTTAATAAAAGTAAACTATCACTATACCTATGTCATTTTCCCGAGGTAATTTTCAAGTTTTATTTAAGTTTCTTAAAGCAAAAATACTAGTATAAAATTAAAATATTCAATCTTAAGTACTACGAAATCTAATATCTAAAAATTAAATATTCAAATTAATAAAAAAAAGTAATGTATTTTGGTTTTTGGTATTAGCATGGAACACGAACTAAAATATATGTTCGTGGTATGGAATCTTAGATCATATACGGTACTACGGTAGTATAAGTCATGTGATTGAAGAGTTCTTGGATCTAAAATATCAGTATTTCTTATCAAACAATCAGTGTCATATTGGCCTAGTATGTCATATTAGGCCAATATCTCGTATCTATAATTCCTCAAATTTCCTTGCAGAGAAAAAATATCTGGAAGCATGCCACTAGACATTTTTTTAAATATAGATAATCTCATCGGAGAGTATATCCTGTCGCGCTTAGGTAAAATTATTGTCAAATTATATATTACATAGACCAAGGCCCATGAACATCAGTTTTGTTCAGTACTCAGAGTAGACCATTATTTTTTTTTTAAACATTTAAACATTATTAATGTTTCTCCACTACTTGCTATCTCTCTCTCTCTCTTTAAATCGATTTCAGTCACTGCACATAGAGGTATGTAAATTTCAGTAGCAAACTCATTTCCGGTTGTAATCAGTCAGGGACATATGAGTTGCAACTGATCCATATTACACTTAAGCGTTATGCTATTATCAAACTAGTAGGCCGTAAAGTAAATCAAATTAATCAATTTTAATCGAAAACTATTTTTAAAGTTGATTTGCATATCAGGAATGAACTGTACACAAAAGGCGTTTGTATAAACTTATAATGTGTATAATTTCTAAAACCCATATATTATTTAATAATATAGTTGACTAGTGGCCTGGTTGATTTTTCACTTGTAGTCGAAATTTCAATTAATAGCAACCTTAATAAGACCTTGCTAATATAGGTCCTTACCACTTACCTAATAATATATATAATATATGAGACGAATATATTACAAAGCCAAACGCAACACAAATATATAGATATATGGGGCAGTAAAATTATATTGAACGATTTTGATAATATAATGATAATTAATAAGTAATAAGTAATAACAGTGGTTTAGTCACTAACTAAGCTTTAGTGCATCAAAATAATATATTTGTGTACAAATATATGCAAGCGTCGAACTAGTAATTCCGCAGTTGTAATGTAAATTATAATAATTAATAACACATTTACTTGATCCCCGCACTAGCCAATAGCCATATGGTCCCTGGGGTCTCGGATTACGTGGTAGAACGATATGTATACATAGTGTTACTGTTGCACACAATATGTAATGACATTGTCATAGCATTAATTAACCACCGGGTGAATTTTATAAAATAAATTATTTAAAAATTATCTATACGCGGGATTAATAGAAGATATGCGTGGAAATTCGTATTACACACACAAAGTAACGAATTTTTTTTATCAGATACCAATTTTTTCATACAAACATTTTTAAATTATTTAAATTGTACCTAACTATTATTTTTGGCCATTGAAATCGTAAACGCACTTTACGTCAATTTATTTTATTTATTACTAAGTCAAAATATATAATATATATAAAGCGGTTTAGATCACAGACAACACTCTGAACATATAGATATTATTATTTTTTTTAGTGTAGACGGTGCTCAGGATAAATGTCTTGGTGCTGTGGCCCCAATTTATAACGTCTTCGCATTATATTATGACGTATTATTGTGTGTCAGATATTAAAACCACGGCGTGAACTTCCGTAAAAAGGTCATCGCCGTAAGAGAATAAAAACGCTTATAAAACAAAATAATAATAATTGAGGAAAACTTATTTAATATTAAACACTCGTTCTCAGAAGGTCACATAATATTATAATAATATGATCTATATACTATAATACAACAGCGACAAAAGTCAACGACCTGCGACCCTAAACGCTTTTTCTTAAAAAAAGTATGTTTTTTTAATGACGAAAAGTTACTCGACTGTTATATTATATTATTTTGTTACAAACCACGATAAGAATATTGAACGATATATTATATCCAATGCTGTGGTTTAAGAAGTATATTTCATAAACCCATAATCAAATCAATTTTAAAGAATCATAAACGTCTTATTTTGGCAATACCTATAGATAACTAAAAAAGCAATGAATTAGAATATTTGAATATTATGTGAAAAAGACAAAATACAATAAAAAAAATACAAGAGAGCCACTCATTTTAAAAATCGTTACAATATTGTGGAGCAGTATATATAGGTACCTACACACCAATCTGAGTTTTGTGCGTTTTTCATTTGAAACGATCGCGTTAATAGTTCGTGTAAACAAATCCACGAACCGAGATTTATGTGTAGTAATTTTGAACCAATGATTATTTGCCAATGTGCTCGCGTTCAATTGTTATTGAAACCGAATTAATTAAAAAACGACACGACCGGCGCGGTGCTGTTGGAGAATTTAAAACACGGATTAATTGCGTCCTTCTCTCGTTGAACTAATATATTATTATATTAGGAGGTACCTACATAATGGGTGTATAATAATAATTGCAACGGGACATGAACTTCGATAAATCCATCACGATGTGTTATTACAGTAATGATAATAATATACGACGTTTGACCGGCAAGTACCAAGACACGTGGACAGAAAACATCGAAGGAATGTATATGTAAATATGTTATATAAGAGCCAGAGAGTTCGTATGAATCGGGAAATTTTTTTAACGGGAAAAAAATATTTGGGATATCATATGTAATTTGTTGTAATGTGCGTGGGTCTGGGTAGTACAGCATTTTCAGGACTGGGATTTCCCGTATCACTATCAGAAGCAGTGGCGCTAGCAGTACCAGGTAAAACCATATTGGGTTTCTTGCTAAAAGAAGACCCCGCCGGGGAATCAGCAGGCCTCTTGGACGACGATGTAGGTGTCTCCATATTATTACCGCTAGTTGAAAAATTATTATCGAAGTTATCGACGTGCTGGTGATCAGTACGCAATGGTCGGCTCGAGTCAGTGTTATTTGTTGATTTTGTTGTGGCGGTATCAGCTGGTTCTGCATTACCCTCGGACTCTGCTCCTTGTGCGTCGTTGTCCTTTTGTTCTACAAATAAACGTCGTCACAGAGTTAGATTATATTATACACATTTACTGAAATTGTAATGCATGCTTACCTTGTTGTTCACGACCGCACTGTGGATATATTATTGCGCTATTACTGCCAGTAATCGCTTCGTGTGTACGTTCTGCTATGTTTTTGAGTCCAAGGCACGGACTAAGATAGTATGGACTGGTATCGACTACCTTATCAGTGGCCCTCAAATGTTTCTAAAGCCGCCGTAAGGTACAACTAGGAGTAAAAGCGCCATCTACACGTGTGTTATAAAAACACAATAATTATAATTAGAAAACATAAAAAATCAAATTTTCAAAATAATATTAATAATATACTGCACAAATAATATTATAATTTATAATGTACTAAATACTGACTGACTACGCAAAATTGAAATTTTTACAATTTTTTAAGTAATAACTTCTAATAAATAATAAAAATGTATATATTGTTATTAATTAAATAAAAAATACACTTGAAAAAAATAAAAATAATTAATATCAAATTAAGTAGGAACAAGTTTGGCTAACTTTTTTTTTTTTGCATTAACCTTTGGTGTATTCTTATTTGTTATTAACGAATATTGTCTCATTCGCATGATTATGAAGTTAGATATTATAGTTGTTAATATGTCTGTCTTATGTTGAATACAAGGAAAATTAACGAACTTATTGTTATTGAAAAAATCATCAATAGTTAACAAGAAATCATCATTATCTTTACAATGCTTTACAAATGATTTTTCTACAGCAGTCAATAATCCAAAAATCAAATCATTTGGGTACGTCAAACCTCCTCTTGATTTCAAATTGACAAATTGAGCTTCTGGTTTGCTTGAGTAACACTTATTACCTATATTAATTAATAGA